CGTGGACTCTGGGGCAGGGTCCGAGAACAGCCTGGACAGGCCCCTCGAAACTGAGGTAATCCCTGAATCCCATGTGTGTTCAATTCCCCTCGGATTTCCCAAAGAGCCTGTACCCACAATGGTTAAGAATTACAGCCACATTTTTAATGTGTCTCTGAATAGTCTGAAACTTCTCCTTTCCTCTTTATCCAAACTTGTACCGACTTGATTTCCCTCCTCATGGCCCAGACACTGCGGAAGCAAAGAAGCAAACTGCGCTCAGTGTTTAGCAGGAGGCTGCTTTTATCTTTGTCTTCCTGAGACACTGAATCCCAGACAGTAGTTTTGCTTTGCTCCTCACGGTCACATCACCGCTGCCCTTCTCTCCGCCCAACAGCAATCTGTAGACCGTCCCAGTTGGAAGTGATCTCACAGGCCGTGTTATCCACATGCGTTATTTGTTGTGTTGAAAACCAAACGTTTGAGAACACTTAGTAATGGACTGGAAGACACATGCAGCTAAAACTGCAAATCACGGCTTCTTCTTTGATACCCCTGCACTTAACTTTGTTTTTTTTTAATTGTTCAATTACAGTTGACATTCAATATATTTTATATTAGCTTCAGGTGTACAGCATAGTGGTTAGAAGATCATATACTTTACGAAGTGGTTCCCCCCCAGTAATTCTAGTACCCACCTGGCACCACACATAGTTATTATAATAGTATTGACTATATTTCCTACACTGTCCTTTATGTTCCTGTGAGTATCTTGCGACTGCCAGTTTGTACTTCTTGATCCCTTCGCCTCTTTCACCCAGCCCCCAACCCACCTCCCATCTGGCAACCATCAGTTTGTTTTCTGTATCTGTGTCTGTGTCTGTTTTGTATGTTCATTCATTTTGTTCTTTAGACTCCACATATAAGTAAAATAACATGGTATTTGTCTTTCTCTGTCTGACTTATTTCATTTAGCATAACACCCTCTAGATCTATACATGCTGTTTCAAATGGTAAGTTTTCATTCTTTTTTATGGTCGAGTAATATTCCATTATATGTACCATCACTTTTTTACCCAATTCTCTATTGACAATTTACTAACTTGAGTTGCTTCCTCCATGTCTTGGCTAGTGTAAATAATGCAATGAACATAGGCGTGCATATATCTTTTCAAATAGGTGATTTGGGTTTCTTTGGATAGATACAGAAGGTGGAATTCCTGGGTCACAATGTAGTTCTATTTTTCATTTTTTGAGGACCCTTCATACTGTTTTCCATTGTCCTGGAACCACTTTGCAATCCCACCAGCAGTGCACAAGGGTCCCCTTTTCTCTACATCCTCGCCAACACTTGCTGTTGTTGATTTAGTGACGATAGCCATTCTGACAGGAGTATGGTGATATCTCATTGTAGTTTTCGTTTGCAATTCTCTGATGATTAGGGGTGTTGAGCATTTTTTCATGTCTATTGGCCATCTGTATGTCCTCCTGGGAGAAATGTATATTCAGTTTCTCTATCCGTTTTATAATTAAAAAATTTTATTTTTGGTGTTAAGATGTATGAGTGCTTTATAAATTTTGGATATTAACCTTTTATCAAATGTATCATTGGTGAATATCTTCTCCCATTCAGGAGTCTTTTTTTTATTTTTATTTTTATTTCATTGGTGGTTTCCTTTGCTGTGCAAGAACATTTTAGTTTAATGTAGTCCCATTTGTTTATTTTTTCTTTTGTTTCCCTTGTTCCAAGAGATATATCATAAAAAAAAAAATAATAATAAGAGCAATTTAAGAGAGTTCACTGCCTAAGTTTTCTTCTAGGAGTTTTGTGATTTGTGGGGTCTTACATTTAAGTTTTTAATCCATTTTGAGTTTATTGTTATGTGTAGTGTAAGAGGGTGGTCCAGTTTTCCCAACACCGTTTATTGAATAAACTGTCTTTACCCCATTGCATATTCTTGCCTCCTTTGTCATAGATTCTTAACTGTATATAAGCATGGGTTTATTTCTGGAATCTCTATTCTGTTCCATTGATCTATGTGTCTCTTTTTATGCCAGTGCTATGGTGTTTTAATCACTATAGCTTTGTAGTATAGTTTGATATCAGGCAGTGTGATAACTCTAACTTTGTTCTCCAGGCTCATAAACTTTGACCTATCCTCAGCCGGATTCCACCTACAGCCTCTCCAAAAGGAGCCCTCCTGAGAATAGGCTGCTGTTCCATCATGCTACCTCCTCCCACTGGCTCATCTTGTCCATCCTGCTCTTCACACTGGCTCTTCCCAGTCTTGTTTATGCCTCTCTCTAAAATAAACCCTTTGGTCAGGCTGGTGTGGCTCAGTGGTTGAGCATTGACCCATGCACCAAGAAGTCACTGGTTCAATTTCTGGTCAGGGCACATGCCCAGGTTGTGGGCCTGATCCCCAGTGGGGGGCGTGCAGGAGGCGGCCAATTGATGTTCTCTATCATCGATGTTTCTATCTCTCTCTTTCCCTCTCACTTCCTCTCTCTGTAAAATCAATAAAGAAAAATAAAATAAAATTAACCCCTTTGTACCTAACCCTTGAGACACGTGCAGATCTCACACCTGGAGCGTTCTCACTATTGCAATGTTTCCCCACCACCACTGCAACTGTCCCCTTTTCCTCTTCAATAATTCTTCCAAATAAAGTCCCTCCTTGCCAATGTCCAGAGTTTGTCTCTATTTGACATTACTCTCTGGCTGACTTGAGAATTTGTCTTTACATAAGCAGATTCATACCATCTTAGTATTGAATGAAATACTCAGGAATCTCAATGAATATTTGCATAAATTCTAATAATTTATTTTCTGAGTTCAAAGAGCATGAATCCATTTACCTCTAAGTCTGAGGAGTTTACCTCTAAGTTTACTTGAGTCTAGGTTGGTTTATCCCCAGGCCTGGAGACCCCTTGCCTTGTGCCTTTTTCTCCTGTCCTTCTGACGCAGTGTGAAGGTCACAGTTCATGGACCTTGGGAGGCTGGGGGAGACAATGTTCGGTTCTCAGGTTCCTGTTGGGATTCCCCACATGAGAGGCTCCTCCTCCTTTACCCCACTGCCTCCTAGAGCTTCAGGCTCTGCCCCTTCATTGCATTATTTACAGCAGTGGTCCTCAACTGGTGGCAGTTTTGCTCCCCAGGGGACCTTGGGCAATGCTGGGAGACACGTCTGATTGTCATAACCGGGGAAGTGGTTACTGGCATCTAGTGGGTAGGCACCAGGGATGCTGCTAAACATCCCACTATGTGCAGGATAGCCCCCGCCACAAAGAATTTGTTCAGCCCCAAATGTCAATAGTGCCAAGGTTGAGAAACGCTGACTTACGTGAGCATTACTGATCCTGACACACTTAATAAGAGAACATTTGCATATTCAAAACCTGACTGTGGGACAGCAAAGCTTGTCTAAGGCGTGTATCTGTCTTCATCCAATCACACAGTGACTGTTTTTCTTTTGAGGCACGTAAGCTCTTGGAGAGGAAAAGGTCAACACTTTGGCAACAAAAATTTATTGATTAGTTTGCAACGTTAGGTACAACACATATAACTTCATCACAAGATTACAGTCCAATATTTGTGCTTTGTAGGATAAGTAAACATTCATTAGAGCATAACAAAATACACACGATATTCTGGGATTGTTTAAAAAATAAATAGATCCTTTTTCCATTTACCAGCACAAAGAATTTTTAGCTTGAGATGAGGAATAAATTTTAAAATTTGACCTTTGATTAATGTGTCAAATTACATAAAGAACCTACATTTGGACTATTTGTGTAATAAATGCCTTACAAGGAAGCTTTCTTGACATTTCAAGTCGTGGTGACACACAAGGCCAGCATTGCTGTTGTGGGGCCTTGTTCCCGTTTGAAATTACTTCACAATCTCTAAAAACAGTGTAAAAGCACAGTGTTTCAGGAAATCATTAATAAACACCTTCTTTGATCAAGAAAATGAAAGCCAGTGTAGCTCATCTAGATGAAAGGAAAGCAGATTTATTAGATGGACGATAGATACTTTCATTTTCCAAAAGATTAAATCTTTGTTATTAAAATACTTAAATGTAAGAAGGTTTTATTCCCCCGCCCCCCAAATAAATTAAACAGCAACGTCTTTGGGTTGAGAAGAGTCTATGATCCTAACTGATCATGTTGAACCCGGCATCTATTAGTGGGAAAGTCATCTGCCTAGCAAGTCTGCCAGATGGGGACCCGCACTTTTATAATAAAACTACTGAGCTGGAGTATCAACATGTGACATACAACAACAATCTCTGCAGATTTTATAACTCTCTAAGATAACTCAGTATATTGTTTAATATAATGTCTTCTTAATTTGCAATAATAAAGTGAACCTTTATATTTTATCTAATTTAATAAACAAGCAGATTTTATCTCACAAGATTTTCTTTCTTTTTTTTTTTTTTTCTTGTAGAAAGCTTGCCCTTAGGGTAAGAACTCTGTAACCATATTAGCCAACTAACATAGAGATGGAAACAAGACAATTTTTGATTTTTTTCTCTCTCAGCTAAACACCAACAATTTGCTGGTAAGTTAAGAATTAGATTTTGGGGAGGTGTAGAATATTTTTCAGTGCGTTGCACTAAATAAATGAAATCCCCTCAGTAGAAGACATTGATGGTGCTTTTATATTTCTGTTAACATCCACTGACATTGGTCTGAAAATGAATTTTTTTTTTTTATGTCAAAGTTCTGGAAATTTCCCACCCATATTCTAAGTGTTCACCTGGACTGATGGCCCTGGAATCTGCTCAAAAAAGTAACATAAAGGTTACAGCATAGTTTACAAAATTATTTTGACCAGTGACTTTGTTTCTAGTTGATTCACATCGTTGGAAACATTACACATTTTGTATTATTAAAATATGCGACAACAGCTTTCCTAGAGCTTGGGCCCCGTCATAAGCTTCTACTACGAGGCCCAGAAAAGTTTCAGTTTGCCCAGCAACGCGAATACAAACTCTTCTGAACTCTTGCACAGGCTGTATCGATTTGTACAGATCTATATTTTATCCTTCCTCAGACTTACTCCATGGGCAGTAGCCTCGAACAGCAGATTGTTTTATAGCTCTGCTAATGTGATGCGAAGTTGGAGAAAGTTTAGAGCATTGAGAACAAACCGTTAGAATCTAAGCTGGAATAAAGGAGAGGATACTGTACAGGCATCGCCGCCTTAGCCCAGTTCCAACAGCCAGTCAAAGAGACTCGGGGCCCCGTCTCTCTGCTCCTCATGCATTTTGCAGTACTGGACAACGGCATGGAAGATGTCCCCCACCTTCCAGGACTTCCGATGGACCAGCTGCACAACATCTAGAAACTAAAGTAAAGCACAGAGTTAGAACCCAGGGTCACAGAGGAACTCGCAGATCAGAGGATGCTCAAAGTCAGCTCATGCAACCACGCTCCCAAAGCCAACAGCTCCCCAGGCTAGTTTTGAATATCTCTGGCGACATGATACTATTTTCCAGGATCGTTTGTTTTCTTTCTAGATGGTTCAACTGATTGGAGAATTCTTTCAACTGAACTGGAATTTCCCTTGCAGCAGCTGCAGTTCATTGACCGAGAGAGACTACGTGGAATTCTTTCCAGAGTCTGTTTTTTAACTATTCAAACGGTTTCCTTTGGTCTGCTTTTCTCTGGAATAGACTTTCTCTAACAGGACTGTAGAGTGCCCAATCCCTTCTACAGGTGTCATAAATGATCTCTCATTGGATGTTTACATTTCGGCCAAATCAGGTGCTAAACTTGCGGGTTGGGCCCCCTGCTGGCTCCTCGCTCCATCTCCGAAAGTCTCCTCTGCCCTCATCAAACACTGAGTGAGGGGTTGGCTTTCTGCTGCAACAGGAAAAAGAAACATTGAGGAAGCTTCCTAGATTTATCACCTGACTGTTCCACTAGCTTCAACTGACCAGAGTTTATAACATTTTCGACCACAGGTAAATTTTGAGCTAAAGTGTTGGAAGATGGGGAAATCGTTACTGCGCGATACTTTGGGATAGAGCACAGACCTCCCAAACTCCTTAGTAAGATACTTTTTGTTTTTTAAAAAGTAACAATTATTAAACTTCCAAACCTGTAGGAAGTATCTTTATGCATGTAATCTCATTCAGTTCTGTCAACAGGCTTATGCAGTAGGCATTGGCAGATGGAAAAAACGAGGGCTTGGGAGCTGGAAAGTTGGTAGTACAACGTGTGGGTTTCTAGCAGTCGGTCTAGCTGGGTCTGCTGCAGTGCCTGGCTGCCTTTTGGTAGGAGGGTAATATGGCATTGATATTTATGTGGAGCTCTGGGAGAAAGGGCTGGCTGGGGTTTTATGAAGAAACAAGACTTATTAAGAAGATGAATGAATATATGCACCTCTATGTGTATTGCAGCATTTTTTATAATAGCCAAGATTCGAAAGCAGCCCAAGTGCCCACCAATAGATGAGTGGATAAAAAAGCTGTGGTACATGTACACAGTGGAATACTACTGGGTCATAAAAAAGAAGGAAATTTTACCCTCTGCAATAGCATTTATGGACTTGGAGAGCATTATGCTAAGTGAAATAAGCCAGTCAGAGGAAGACAAATATTGTACGATTTCACTTACATGTGGAATCTAACAAACAGAATAAAGTAACAAACAAAGTAGAAACAGACTTATAGATACAGAGAACAGACTGACAGCTGTCAGAGGGAAGGGGTGTTGGGGGGCTGGGTGAAAAAGGTGAAGGGATTAATAAAAAAACAACAACAAACTCATAGACACAGACAACAGTGTGGTGATTACCAGATGGAAGGGGCAGAAGAAGGTAAAAGGGGGATTAACGGTGATGGAAGGAGACTTGACTTGGGGTGGTGAACACACAGCACAGCATACAGAAGATGTATTATAGAAACCTATATAATTTATTAACCGATGTCACCCCTATAAATGCAATAAAAAATAAAAAAGAAGATGCGGGTTGTGGTTTCGTTACTATTTCTTCAACATTTCCTTCTAGGATTTTTTTGCTTTGCTCTTTTTATGTTTGCTCAGACTTTTAAGATCAGCCAAAAACGGAAATGCTAATTTCTATCTGTTTTTTTCTTTCTTTCCGGCTTGAATTCGTTAATTCATTCAATTACTGAGAAGTGATGTTCTAAAGAGCTACTATTAAATCATGTTTCTTCTCACAGTGGTGATGGTACCAACTATTTGCATAATAATAGAAATCAGCGCTTCATTGTACTCACTTGCCTTGTGTTGGCTTAATCAGAATACAGCAGTATTCTAGGCTGGAAAATGAAGTATTTAACTTTTAATCCATGAAAACACAAACATTATCTCCAAGAATTTTAGGATGATATAAAAAGGCAGACAGATGGGAAGCCAATGGCGACTGTGTTATACATAGTAATCTCCAGGGAAGAACAGCATCTCAGCCAGCTTTAATATCTTCTGCCTGTACTTAGTAGGTACTCAGTAAATATTTGCTGATTGACAGAGGTATGGATGTTCAAATGTACGTCAAATACATTCAAAATGATCAAAAAGACTATTGGGTCTGTGGCGTGACATCCAGAACCACCACAGATAAACCTTGTCTAAGTATCTGTTCTTGAGTTTCATGTAATGTGTTTGCACAGATGTAATTAAAAATCATATGCATATTGTGGGGCTGCTTACTCAATAATTTTCTATTGATAAAATGCTCATCAAAATGGTTGGAGGCCATGGATCTAGGCAAAGGTTGAACAGAGCCTAGATTGGGGCAATAGTAGTGGGCAAGGAGCAAAATAAAAGCTGGTCATGAAACATGCCTCCTAAGGCCCAGGGCTGAGAATGAGTGGGGGTGGGGGGTACCCAGGACCTTTCTTCACTGCTCACCTCAACAGTAATGGGGGGTTTGCTCTATAGCTCCATCGTGATAGGACTTGGTGATGGAACTTCAGAGACTCTCAGCTCTCTGGGACCCCCTCCCAATTCTGCCTACCTTCCTGTCTGTCCTCTTCCTGAAATTCTAGAAAGCTTAATCCTTTAGGTTAATAAGGCTTTGCTTAAAATGCAAATCCAGCACCTATTAGTAAGTTATGGTGATGCATACAAATAATTTTGTGAGCTGTTACTTATACCCTGGTGTGTACAAAGGATTGGAGGCATGTTTTCTGTTGGACAAAGTGGTGAAAACGTGAGGTATCAGAGAAAAGGGGAGAAAGGCTAAGATGTGTTTGCATGATTCCATTAATCAGACTTTTCCAGCTGTTACTGAAAGTCCAGGAAGTTGGTGTTCTTGGTGCAGACGGCGTGAACATGAGGTTTCTGAGGTCTCACTGAGAGGGGCTTGAGGGCTATTGACTTCTCTTCAAGATTTCCCCGGAGGGTCACCAGCAGCCTTAGGCCAGACATATCGGTTGAGATTGTGTCCTTTTCCTTAACGTATCTTTTAAAGATGTAGTCAATATAATGTATACAGAAATATAAAATTAGCCTGAGCTTATTTCATTTTTCTTTCTGTAAATCCTGGTTCACTGGATCATCATTCTGTTCCCAATTTTCTCTGAAGGAGAATCAAAGCTCTAGGGCAGATACAATCATTGTTAAACCTTTCCCAGAAGGCTCTGTGCCACAGACCTTTCTGAAAGCCCGGTGCCAGCTTCTTTCCTTCTCTTTGGGACCTGCTGTGGGAGGGTCTCCCAATGTGGTGGTGACCACAGGATGCTGTGGACTAACCCAAAGTTGTCAACATGCTCCACCAGCGAGGACATCGTGCCCGGAATCAGTGGAATAGGCACAGGCTAGAATCTGTCTCACAATTTCTAAATCTAGGCTGATATCCCAATAACACAGCTTTTAAAAATGATCTGGCCCCACTAAATATACCCTGCTCTGAGTCCGTGACGGCTTAATCTCAGACATCAAGACCTAGAAACATCTGCGGGGCTGATGAGCAGGAAGGTCTTACGCTTTCTTTTCTTCCATCCTTTTAACTTCTAGATAAAAATGAAGCTTTTCTTCAGTAAAGAAGCCAGAAAAGGACATTTCCAGCTCATTACCATAGCCTTTTAAAACTAGCAGCTGGTCCTAGACACTTTATTGTGCCTGTCCATGTTATTGCCTTGGTACTTTCAGAATCAGCTCTCATATGCCAGGGATCTGGGCTTTTTCTCCCAATTAGTTGAAAGAGTAAAAGTCAAAATTGTCCTTTTCCTGCCATTTCAGAATCAATAATAATTAGATTCCCTTCATATATGTCACAGTTGGCATTTCCTTGAGCAAATGTTTTGTCTTAGGAAACTAGAAGAATTTACATCCTGTGACGGTATATCATTGGTAGATGCATTTGTAGAAAAGTACTACATGGCAGGTGGCTCTTATATTCTCAGGTGCATCTACTAAATTAGGTTGTTTACCAAATCATATGGTGAAATCTATGGAAGCTGCTGCAAACTGTGTGGGGTTGTATGTGTGTGTGTGTGTGTGTTTTAACATTCAACATAGATTTCTGAAAACAGCTACCTTCTGCTCCAAAGCACAATTCCATTCCATTAAGCACGAGTGAGCTGGTCTTTACATTGCTCCTGCAGTTATGGGCTGTGTAGCTGTGATTCCCAGCCTTTGTTGTGCCCTGGAACCATCAGGGACCTTTGGAAATCTCTGATGCCCGGAGGAGATTCTGATTTAATTGGCCAGATCATCAAGGGTCTAAAATTTCCCCAGGTGACTCTAGCACACACTGAGTTTGAGCACCATGACTAAAGAATTTAGCCCGAGAACGTTTCTTACATTTATAAGCAAAGAGACAGTATCTATTGTGGACTGAATGTATCCTACCCTCAAATCCACATGTCGAAGCCCTAACCCCGGGGGCCTTTGGGATATAAATAGGTTTAGATAAGGTCTTGAGAACGGGGCTCCCACACTAGGGTTCGTGCCCTTAGAAGAACAGGAAGAGACCCTGGAGCCTTCTCTCTGCTGTGTGAGGACATGACTAGGAACAGGGTCCTTATCAGCCATAAATCTGCTGGCACTTTGTTCTTGGACTTTCCAGCCTCAGAAATGGTAAGAGATAAAAGTTTGCTGTCCAAGCCACTCAGGCTATGGGATTTTGTTATAGCAGCCCAAGCTGACTAAGACAGTGTCTAATTCTTCCTTATTTTTCCTTCCTTTTCTGTGTACTTCTTCAAAACGGAGACGTGAAGGGCAGAGTTTTTGAACAAGGTTCACAGCCGATGTCATGAACATTTTCTCTGTGGCTCTCCTGTGCATGTGGAGTGGAGTGAGAAGCTAGAGCTGAGGCTCCTTTTCTGACGCCCACTTTCCTAGGGAGATAAGCTCCCTGTTTGCTCTCCTCTGTCCTGCGCACCGCTTCCAAGGGAGGAAATCATTCTCAGAGCAGGCTTACAATGAGCAAGGGTCTGGGCTCACGGTGAGCCTGGGCAGAGCTCACTGCAGCTCCCAGAGACTCACTGGATTCAAACAGAGGAAACAGAGCAGGAGACCAAAGATGCTTTGGTTCCAAAAAGCACAACAATTAGCCCGTTGGTGTCATTAATAAACAAAACGAAACAAAAAAACACTTGCTTTCATGATTCTGTCTTCTGTCTCAGATAAAGTGGATTCAAGTGAGCTGATGTCAAGGTCGTTGTGAATTAAATTTCAAACTGTTCTAGATCAGGTGTTAGGCTTCTTAGCAATATTTGCCCTGGAACTCAGCATACTTAAAAGCCACCTCCAGTTCGGCCTCTCCTTCAGGATTTTTCCTGTGGAAGAAGTTCTGAACCTTGAGTGCTCACCGGAACCACCGCACTTGCAGGAAGTTGCGTATTTGGGGCCTAGAACTGTGAGGTGTAAATAGATGTCCCGGGGGACTCAGGACGCTCGGCTCATGGTCTTGGTGTGACATGCGCTACTGCTGCGTGTTGCTCATCTCCCGTGTCCAGAATAAGCCTCCTTCGTATTTCAAGGTTGCTCTTCACACCTTGAACCTCCTGTTTTCTGTTCTTCCTGCCGTGGATACCTCTGGAACCAGAATGTACACTCCAAGCCGGCAGGAGATTTTCTCTCTTTTGTTCTCTGGATCCTCAGGACCTAGAACAGTGCCTGGCGTGTTGCGTGTTGTGCCTACTCAGTGTTTAATGAATATTCTGAATGTATGACTTTTAAGTACGCTTCGTATTTTAATACACGGACAAAACACAGTGGAATTTTGAAAATGAAGGAATCGCTTATCCGAGAGGAGTCACGGTGCATTGCACACCCAGAACGTTTGGGATTTGCCTTTTGAGTTGACATGAGGCTGGCATCCGTTTTAGGCTGACTTTAGGTGCCCCCAGCTCCAAGGTCAGCGGTGGGAAATGTGGGCTCCGTCAGTGTCTATCCGTGGTATCCTCTGCCTCTGTAGCCTTCGCCTGCATTTTCACAGACAGGGGGTTAATCAGTTGGGGATACCAATAGGCAGACATGTTAGCTAAATTAATTTACCCCCTAAATTTCAGAATTCACGAAAATAGGGACTAAGAGTGCACTGTTGATTTTGAAAAGTCCACATTTTGCTTGAGGGTTTGCTTTATGTGGCCAGTGCCCGTTTACGGAGAGGTCACTGTGTGCAGAGGGTCTCAACCAACTCCAAAAGGAGAAAAGAAAGAGGGGAATTTTGTTCTGAAAGTTACATTAGTTGGAGTCAGATTCTGATGCTCAGTGGAATGAATCGCATCACCATTTCATGTGTTTCTTGATAGCGCTGGTGGGACACTTATTTTCTCAGAAAAATAGTTATGAGCAAAGAAAGGCATTCTCTCGGGGAACTGAGAATAGCTGGGGACAGATAGATATCAAGTCGGCATGATTTACAGAACCAAGCCGTAGTGGCACACTCCTTGTATCTTCGCCTAATGGGGAATCATGAGGCATATTTTCACATAGATGGTTATGTTGTGTCCTCAGAACGGTAGATTGTATAAGCATCTCCTCCACGAAGAGCCCGTGAATCCTCCATAAAATGCTCTGGAGATGAAGCTGGAAAGCAGCCTGGCTTGCATTTCCCCGGAATCTGAGAACGCGCTTTCCCGAGAATGTTCTTGTTCTTCCCCCAGGGCAGGGGGTCTGCGAGATTGTATGTGGCCGGACGGAAGGGCCAGACGTGGGGTCCTCTCTCCCTTCCCCTCCGCACCGGGCAGGCTGGGTGATAAGGTGGAAGGATGATTCATCAGAGAGTAAATCACCCACACCTTTCACACATCGGAGGGCTAGTGTCTGGACGCAGACAGAGTGGAATGGCAGGCGCCCTGGGCACCAGGAGGAATCTAAATTACTGGCTGGAGTGGGAGAAGGGTTAGAAAATAAATGAAGGCCCCTCGATTTTTCCAGTGGTCGGTTCAGAGGCGGGTGTCACAGAAACAGGGAAGCTGTTCTAATGGCCGTGCACATGGGCCAGAGGGCGGAGGAGCTTTCACTGCAGGCTGCTAGATGGTTGCAGTGAGAATTAGAATCGAATTACACATTTAAAAACATCTGGATTATAACCCCAAGGCCCCTGTGCTTGAGAAAGACACACTCCTGAGAGGCCTTTGTGGAGAAAGCAGGGCCCCTGGAGGAGGCTCCGCCACCACCTTCTGAGGTCTCTCTCGGGGACCTGCCTCTCCACGTCCTGACTGGCTCATTAATAACCAAGGACAATATTTCCCTGTGACAGTAAGTCATTAAAAAGTGCACAGTAGCAGCAATAAGCAGGATCCCAAAACAGCTCTCAACATTTTCTGCCCTACTGCTTGGCACCATGAATAGGAGAAGAATGTCCTGATTATGTGACCCTAGAAGACACACGGGATTCTTCCGTTTTTGAGTTAACGAGAAGGGAGGCTATTTATTGAGCCTAGTCTAACTGCACGGGCCCTTTAAGAGCAGTTTGCTCTGGCTGGTGGCAGACGTAAAGAGAGGCTGCATAGGAACGTGGAAGGGCCACAGGAGAAGCCATGTGGGCAGTGGCCCTCAGCCGATAGCCAGCAAGGGAATGGGGACCAAAGTCCTAGAGCCACAAGGAGCTGAATTAAGACTGCTGAACCCGCTGTTCCCAGGGGAGTCCCCAGCCAGGCTGACATCTTCCTTTCTGCCGCCGAAGCCCCTGAGCCCAGAGCGCAGGACAAGCCCCCCAACCTTCGGATGACAGAGATCGGTGTTGTTTTAAGCTCGTCAATTTGTGGCAGTTTGTTGCACAGCAATAGAAAACGAATATAGCAAGGTTACTGTTCATCTGAAAAAATGTAAAAGCAACACACTTTTAAATTATGGAAAATTGGGCTTGAAGAGAGACGAATTCCTGCCCGAATCTTAGCAGACGAGATTCTATCAGAGTTCGTGGCAGGTCTTCGTGGGTATGGATTTGTGAGACGTGGCTGTTAGCTGTGGTGTTGGCCACGGGTCTGTTCCCTGGTTTCTGTCTCTGGCAGGTGCAGAGTGACAAGGGAGAAGTGGGCCTAAGGCAAACCTGTTTGGCAGGGAATTAAAAACGCCTTCTCTTTGCCGCCACACTATGTTGTAAATAAAAGCGTGGCCTCACCTTGGTTTCCAGTACATATCAAGCCTTTCCTTCTACCTTTTATTTAAATGAGTGTTAGGAAGAGGTCTGTATCAGAGCAAGGATGCATTACAACAAACAAACAAGACAACCCAGACTCTTTGAAAAAGTTCCCATCTCCTCGGTTCACTTTCTCATCCTCACCAACTAGTCGTACGTTTAAAACGAAGAGTCAAGAACACATAATTCAGATTCAAAGGGGTCACCTGGGCATTTACTGGGTTTTCAGCAGCGATCAACAGACAAGCTTCACTGACACACGGAACACGATACCTTTTCGATTCTGTTTTCCTGAGATTTCTTAAAGTAGATGGTCGGGATCCCAAGCTCAGAGGCAGCGATCCACTGCAGGGTGGCCCGAAGCTCAGCGTCAGGACACTCGGGCTCCAGGTCAAAGTTGATGACCAGCAGGCTCCCCTGGCAGCTGGTGGCTCCCATGGGCGCTCCAGAGGCACCTTCTGAACACAGACAACGGCACAGCCTTACTGGGCTTTCCGCGGGGAGGTCGCGGGCCAATTGTGTGTCAAAAGGATGGGAACGTGCTTACCCTCTCTGCTTTCTGCCTGTCCTTTAAGAATCTCCTTTTCTTCTATTAATTCACTTTGGGAGAAAACAACAGTGCATGGTTGGTAATGGTTAGGAAGAGTAAGCTGCAAGTGGAAGATGAGGCGATGAGTTTTATTGATCTAAATGCTTCTGAAGTTCCATCCTATGTTTAGCGTTTTCATGGACTGAAGTGATACTAGAAAAATACCAACGGGGCTACTGTGGAGAGCGGCTAGGTCTTCAATACATATCCTGCCTCTAAAAAAACAAAAAGGCCAGAGAAACTGCCGGCTTTCCGTGGGGATGATTGGTGTGGGAGACTCCGGGAGACATCTCCCACGAACCTTCCAAGGTGCCTACAGTCCAGGAGAGATGATGGGAACTAGTTCTAATTTGAGGATTTATCCTTCTTGTGTATTTTACCAGTCATTTAACGGATCGTATGTTTCCATCTTGACACAACGATTTTTTTTTTCTATACTATGATTAGAGCATAAATTTGCATTGCAGCCTAGGAAAATATGTTTTGCACATGGATATGGTTCTTTGATTTGAAATAAGGGGAGGGGGGTAATCAATGAACCACAGAACTTAAACTGTACAAAAAGTATCTCAGTTGGCTGACATTTTTCTTTTTCTTTTTATCAGGAGAATGGAGTCAACTGGAGATGGGTTAGAACCAGAGATTCATGACTGAAGCGAGCATTTCATTCACTACAGAAATGTTCCATAGTTGAGGTGTTTTCATATAATGAGAACTTGTTAGAAAGCCTTGATTATAGGGGCAAGACTCAGCAAATGCTTCCAAAATGAGAACATAGGGCCCAACAGTTAAAAAAAATTCACCATTTTGGGAAACTTGATTGTTCTATATTTTTGTCCTGGTTAAAAATGAATATACAGGGGCTCTTCAAAATGTGTCTTTTTATGAGAGAAGATTCTCCCTTATATTTTGTGTTGTTGCTAAGATTTGGTTGATAAATTCCATTTTATTCCTAATGCTGAGAGAGCCTTGTTGTTCCTACATGCACCCCTAATAATCACGCAGAAAGATGGCCCTCTGCCTAAGGGTCTAGATTTTCTGCTAGATCTAGGCAAGTGGCTTTAAGTGCAAATGACAGGTGGTAGGTGCAGCTTCTGGTCTAATAGAGCTATATGCTGCTGCTGTGGGTGGTGATGGGCTTGGTTTTCCCTGACTTCTTATAGTCTGTGGGGTTGTAGGCTCACACCATGGAGAAGGATGGAAACAGTAATGTTTCCTGAAGGAGAAAAATAAATTTGTCCAAAGTAGTTTTTTAATTCATTTTTTTTTTGGGGGGGGGGGGTGAGGTTTTCCTTTTAAAAAATGAAACAAGCCCTGGCCAGTTTGGCTCAGCGGTTAGAGCATCGGCCTGCGGTCTGGAGAGACCCGGGTTCGGTTCCCGCTAAGGGCACGTACCTCAGTTGCAGTTCGTCCCCGGCCCTGCTTGGTCGTGCGGGTGGCAGCCACTCGATGTGTCCCTTCACGTCGATGTTTCTCACTCTCTCTCCTTTCCTCTCTCTCCCTCCCACTCTATCTGTACAAAAAATGGAAAAATATCCTCGGGTGAGGATAAAAAAAAAAAAATGAAACAAAACAAAATAAACCCGAGATCATGTGGATCGTGGCCTGTGGAACAAAGAAAGAGGCTTTGCCACCTTCAATCACTGAGGAGAACTCCCACAGGCGTAATACTTGATTACAGAGTAAAGCAAAAATGCTTTCGCTGTAGAAAGTAATAGAGGAACTAGGTCAGATCAAAGAGCAAATTTTGTGCTATACTGTATTTTCATTTTATTTTGAAGTTTCAGAAATATCCAAATAATAAGCAAAGTCACCAGGGTCAAAAAAGTAGATTGCAGCTCATTTCATTTTCCAGAAGCATCATAATTCTAGATGGGGTCCTGACCTCATGGTGCGCTCCCCATATTTTATGTCGTGCGTGTTGTGCTTGTCTTGGTGTTTCCTCCCTGCCCCTCCCCCTGCTTGCTCTTTTGGGAGAATCTCATGGTGTAGGGGGCAGAGTTCCTAGGGGGTGGGGATGACACCTCTCCATCACGGCACCATCTGGTGTCCGGCACATTTAGTAGTAATAATCCCAGGTGTCTAAAGTAAAGGAAAAGCCACCACACTTGGTTGGCATTACATGTTGGGTGGCACGGTACAATTTGAACAGATTTCTGCTTCTCCATGTCCAATTAGGTGAAGGGATGTACATTTTTAATTATATGGATGAGCTTCATTTGAAACGATGAGAAATTCAGAAAGGAGGTGATGGGAGGCTAGGGCTGGCTTGAGCTCTTGCTCCAGTGACATGGAACCACACACGCCTGGGCCCGGCCGTACAGACAGCATGGAATCGGTGGGCACAGCCTGCATGATCACGATGGATGGCCAGATGGGACTGGAGTGGCAGTCTCACCACCACTGCACCTCCGCGGCTACTTACTTAATCATGGCAGAAGATGGCATGCTTTCCTGATAAATGTCCAGGTCCATAATGCCAAGACTGCTAGTGGCACTACTGTTGCCATTGCTGACAAAGCAAAAGTTTACATATTAATGCCAGTCTCCACCACCTGGCCACACCACCGACACGATCTACTGTCCTCCGGGGACCTTCCTTTAGTCCTCAGAAGAATATTGCTTTGTGTCTAGGATTCCCAAATGGATATTTGTTTCTGACCAAATTAGGGGAACACACAACAGAAGACATTTTTGGCTCGAGCCAACCACCATCACTGTTTTCTGATTTCTGCCGTGGTGTTGCGCTGGGTAGATCACACCTAGTAGGTGACAATCGGCATGCCCTTTTTCTTCCTCATTCTAGTTACAGTAAAGATGTTTATCTATTAGCAAAAGACCCGCAGAGATTAAGATACTTCTGAGAATGCTGCTTGGGAGAGATGCTGGAATGCTTATCTGGCTGCATTTGATGAGAACCAGTGGGTGCACATTTTTCTTTGCCGTTCAAGGGAGTTTTCCAAGGGGCATTCCACAGAATGTGCACCTGGCTCATGAGTTTGTCTTTTTCTTTATGGAACTAGAGAATTCACCAGGACAAAGTTGAGGAATGCTGCGTTTTATAGCTCCTTCACCTTGAAATCTTTGAGAAGCAGCAACATCCGCCACCTTAGGCATCATGGAGAAGGAGAGGTCGGACATTGTGTTGTTGCCATAGGTTGCACCATCAAGACATGATTACGGTACTAACCTGAAATTTATTTACTGAAATAGTAGACTTGAGTTAATTTTTAAGGTTCTGTCTGTGCTTGCAAAAGGGAATGCACCCAATTTTGCCAAAGCCTACTAAGGTTCCTCCCACCATCTCTAGCTGTCAATGACATCTCTGCCAAGTGAGGTCTCCAAAGGGTTAGAGCTGGTGTGTCGTAAGCGAGCAGTCTTCCCTCGGGACCATGGGGAACCAACCAGACTCCCTCCAACTCCAATTCCTGTCTTGGGTTTCGTGTGTGGGGGGGGGACTGAACATATTCACTGACTGATATCTGATGACTCAAACCTTGTGCTGAAGGGCATTAACACTATCAACACCTGATAAGTCCAAAGATTTAAATTCTCTTTGCTTTTTTGTCTCTACCTTGTATTTGGAATTTTAGAAAGCAAGTTGTCCAACATTGTGAGATTTTCCTAAGTTTAAATAGATGGTACCACTGGAAAAACAAAACAAAACAAAACACCTTTAAGGAGCCAGATAGATACCCAGATGCACCTGAACCTCCTTTCCAACGGGGCTCTCTGGAAAATCTCCAGGATCAAACAAGTCTTCAGGCGGAAATGTCGAAATTCTCTGCAGTTTTTACCTCCCGGGGGGATAGTTTTTAGTTTATATCTGTGGCCTGGCGGGGACCCAGTCAGATTTGACCGCTCCTTAGAGCCTGCTTGTTTCCCCAGAACAACAACAGAGGGTGGGGCAGAGAAAGTGGAGGAACATTCACGCCAAACGACACCACACAGTGCGGAAACACTTGCCTCATGTAAACCCAGCCTGGGTTGCATCTGAAATACAAATGAACCAGAAAGAAAATATCAAACACACCAGGTGCAACAGCAGCTCTTCTTAAGACATTCACAGTCGTCATCATCGAACAAATTAGCTGGGGCTTACAGGAAAGGGAACACAGCTGATTCTTAACCCTGGCCAAGGTCGCTGAAGCCATAATCGGATATTAAGATAACCCTTGACCTTGGGAGCTTTCTTTCTGTGCACTGTCTATTAGGGACCCTTTGGTGAGAATCATTTAAAACGCATCTCTGAAACATGTGTTGGGACCTGTTTCCCTGGGAAGTCAAGTGAAGAGCAGGTACCTCATGGATTGCTCACTGAACTGCAGAAAGCTACTTGTGTCGTCCGGGTTGTCCTCCTCATTGGCGAGTTGGGACCAGCTGTCTGTGCTCCCCCCACTGCTGCTGGGAGGGTTGGGGACCTCATCGGGAGCTCCGCCTTCCGTCGAGACTTCAGCTTCTGGTACATCTCTGGCGTCAAAGCTGTCGCTGTAGATGGTAAGATATCATCACCAAGAGTGAAGCACAAGACTCAACTCTCCCCGGGACCCTGCTGTCGGCTGCTGAGTATGAACCTCCACCACCCCAGCAGGAGGTCTTTGGACACACGTGCAGTCTTTCTGTTTGGCCAATACTTCTGCTGGTGCCCTAGGTCTCATTTTTTTTTCTCTTCAGGGTGACTCTCCATCGGCTTTCCCATCTCTTCATTTGACCGCCTCTTTCTTTGAGCCCCCTCCATTCATTTAAAAACACCCGTGAGAACCCTGGTCTGCATACATAAAAATTACTGAGGGGCAGTGCTGTTTGAAAGGAAGATAACTAGAGGATCCTCCCCAGAGACTGGGATTCAGTGTTTCTGCAGAGAGGCCAAGAAACCTGCATTTTAAACACCACCCCCCCCAAGTGATTCTAAGGCATGAGGTCGGTGGACCACGCTGGGAAAAAACACCCACCCTCGTTCTGTTGGTTTCCAAAGGCATTTTGCCTAGAAATGTCTCTGAATATATACTCTCCCTGTAAAACTTATAATTTATAGCAGCACCACTTTCGGGATTCCTGAGCTCTCCAGACATTTAACCCTTGAAGCCTCGCCCTGGCTTCCTGTGACGTCAGGCCCGTCGGGACACTTTCCGCTTGGAACTTGGTTCTCTGCTTTTCTTTTAGTGTCACTGCAGCCAGGTCCGATTGCTCACAGCCCTGCTTTCCCGTCTGTCCCTGAGTAACCGCGTCTACTCTCCCGCCTGGGAAAAGAGCTCCCACGTCTGAACCCCAGCTAGCGCCTCTCTTCCCGACTCTGGGTTCTCTTCACTGCTTTTCTGACCACATGCAATCCGTCTTGGTAACATCTCAAAATCGACGTCTCTAAAAGAAATTCGGAAGGTCCTGCATCCTCTTCCTGTGTTTCTTATTTCCATCGATCTTTCTGAGTGTCCGTGCTTAACGCCTTGCATCTTCTGCATTCAGCCCCCTGCATTCAACCAGTGGCTGTATACTTTCAGTCCATCTCTAAAGTATCTCTCACAGACTTGTCTCTGTCTCTGTGCTCATAAAATTATCTTAATTTAGGTCTTTTTAAATTGATAGAATTTTAGATTTGGAAGAAATGTCATAGATTTCCTGTAGGTTAGGAGGCAAAGCCCAATGAGGTCCACTAAGTTGGTACCAGACATTAGAAATCAAATTCTGAGACTGGTGGGCATCGTACCCACCATGACTCTTTGGCTGGACTAGACTGCATCAGCCTCCACACAGGAGAGCCCCAACTCTTTTCCCTCCCTCAAAACCTTCCGCACACTGCTGCCTAATTAATGTTCCTAAGACCTGTCTTTGACCATTAGTCTCAAAAACTTACAATAACTCCCTGAAGTTAAACTTTGCGTTCATGGTCTTCCCCTTTCTACCCAGTGTTCTGTTCTTTCTTTGTTTCTTCTTTCTTTCTTAATTAATTTATTTTTGTTACAGATGTTTTCTTGTTTTTACCCCCAGACACCCTCCTCTTTATCCCACCTCCGCCCACAAGCATTGTTGTCTATGTCCATTGGTTATGTGTACACAGTTATATCTAAGCAAACAGAACCACCGGTTGTTTCTCAAACATGCCAGGGATTTCCTGCCTCACTGTCTTTGCCTTGTTTCCTCTGACCAAATGCTGGAGACTAGGTGCTTTATTTAGGTTCCCTAACCCTAACACTAACCCTAACCATAACCCGTACCCTAACACTAACCCTAACCCTCCCCCTCCCCCTAACCCTAACCCTAACACTAACCCTAACCATAACCCTCACCCTAACCCTCACCCTCATCCTAACACTAACCCTCCCCCTCCCCCTAACACTAACCCTAACCCTAACCCTAACCCTCCCCCTCCCCCTCCCCCTAACCCTAACCCTCCCCCTAACACTATCCCTAACCTTAACTCTCACCCTCAGCCTCACCCTACCCCTAACACTAACCCTTTCATTACCTGTCACCTATTCAACCTCTCTAAGAGAAATACTACTACCCATCCCACCAGGGGTTTGCAACATGTACATTAGAAAATAAAGATTATTGCCCTGGCCGGCTTGGCTCAGGGGTTAGAGCGTTGGCCTGCGGTCTGGAGAGACTCGGGTTCGGTTCCCACTAGGGGCACGTACCTCGGTTGCAGTTTGTCCCTGGCCCTGGTTGGGTCGTGCGGGTGGCAACCACTTGATGTGTCCCTTTCATGTCGATGTTTCTCTCTCTCTCTCCCTCCCACTCTGTCTGAACAAAGCATCAAAAAAATGTCCTCAGGTGAGGATAAAAGAAAAGAAAAGAAAGATCATTTAGTGCATTTAGCTTGGTGCCTGGCTCCTTCTCCTAAGAGTCTTTCTCCCAGCATGCTGGACAGGTATGGTATTGGGGTGTGGCTGTTTTTAGCATGCTGTGCTGCTAACATTTGGTTAAAAGAGATTCTTAATAAGCTTGATTTTCCCTTCAAAAATGTTGATATTCTTCCAAATTGAGCCAGGAGAAAGGAAAACAATAATGATGGAGCCAAAGAAACATTTAGTGAATTGAATTAAATTCAAAGGAAAGAAAAGTTCATTGGTAACAAATGGAAACAATATACATATTCCACAAAAAGTGGCGATGGGCCATGTACTGAGCACAAAGAAGCGTGCTGAAACCATTTGTGTATTTAGTTAAAAAGTAATTTCCTGGACCAATTTATTTATTTTTTATTTTTTTTTTACTAAATTAAGACCTAATGTTATTAGAAAAATTCATTCCAGTGTATTTCTTATTAAAACAGACGTTCCATCATAGTGATGACATTGTACATTCTTCTATCTCAACTTCATGCTCTATTTTACAGTAAATCTCACACTCCATGTTCCATAACTGGGGCATTCAGAAGGAATAATGATCATCACAAACACTGCTTCTCGTTTTCTCTTGAGAGAGTTTATAGCGTTGCTTGTTTGTTGATGAGTAATGTACAGATGTGTCATGCAGATGTGTGCATTTGGCTTTTCCCCCACCTCTGATCTCACAGTTCACACACAGAGCTTGAGACGGCTGCACTCGATGTGCTGTGGAGTTAAACTAGAATTTCTGAGTTAGCAGAGACCTCAGCGAACATCTAGCTCGGTGTTCCCCCAATTTCATTTATTTGAAAACCACGGTCGTGATTTTTGCTGTATCTGCATTCTCCCTGTATTAAAGGAATAGTAACATTTATTTGAATTAGTTTACTTGATATAACCTACATATGCTTATTTTAAAACTAAATTTTGAGTCATTGCTCTAAATGTAAAAAAAGAATTGCACTGTGGCTGGTTTTGCTCCGTGGTTAGAGCATCGGCCCATGGACCAATGAGTTACGGGTTTGATTCTGGTCAAGGCACGAACGTTGGTTGCCGTTCATCCCCAGCTCTGGTCGGGTTGTGTGGGAGGCAGCCACTCGATGTGTCCCTCTCACATCAATGTTTCTCTCCCTCCCTCCCATTCTATCTGATGTTAAACAGAAAAATATCCTTGGGTGAGGAATAAAAAAAAAGGGGGAATCTCTGGCTATAGGTAGAAAATAGCAATAAAAATAAATACATAACTATAGTAAAAGCATTCTTTCTAATAAATTATGCAGTTGTTTACTCCTGGAAAAGTTTGCTGAGGGAAATCATAACAATTAAACATTACACATCTTAAATATTTTAATTCAGCTTTAGATGCATAAATATGTGCTTATTTGTCAACCTCTAGACCAAGAGAGTTTTTGGTTTCATTCATTTTCTCTAGTCTATTTTTGTAATAATTTATTTCTGCTCTTATTTTTTTAAATTAAATTCCACTATTTTCTTAATAATGTTACATTTGATATTTTTTAGAGAGAGGCAAAGGGAAAGAGAGATAGAAACATCCATGTGAGAGATATACACCAATCAGCTGCCTCTTGCACACCCCCTAATGGGAATCAAACCCCAAACCTAGACATATGCCCTGACTGGGAAGCAAACCAGATTCCCCAGCCCTGTCCATGGGGAGACATTCAGTCCACTGAGCCACACCGCTGGGCTCTGCTCTTGTTTTTTATTATTGCCTCCTTATGTCGCTTTAGGTTTAATTTGATTATCCTTTTTTAGTTTAAGGTGGACATTTAGATAAATTATGTTAGATAATTTTTCTTTAAAAAGAAACATTTAAGATATTAATTTTCCCCCAGTACTACTTTAGCTGCATCCCACACATTTTGATGTGTTGTGTTGTCATTTTAATGCAATTCAAAATTTAGTCCAGTTTTCTTTGTGATGTCTTCTTGTTTTTCATTGATCTCAGAAAGAGGGAGAGAGAGATCGGGAGATTGAACACACACCCACAGCCTGCACAGCGCCCTGTCCGGGAATGGAACTGACACTTTCCGGCACACAGGACGGCGCTCCGACAACTGAGTCACAATGGCCAGGGCATGGCTTACTCTCTGACCAATGGATAATTTAGAAGTGTGTTGTTGATTTCCAAATATTTTGGGAGATTTCCTTGACATCTCTTCGTTATTGACTTTTAGTTTAATTCCATTGTGACTGGAGAACATATTCTATACGATTTTAATTATTTTTAAATTTTATTAAGATTCATCTTGGTGAATGTTTCAAGTGCCCTCTTAAAATGTATATTCTGTTGTTGATGGAGTGATTAATAAATACTGATCAGGTCAGGTTGATTGAGAATGCCATTCAAGTCTTCTATATCCTTATTCTGCTTTGCATTCTATCAATTACTGAAAGAACAGTGTGAAATTTCCAACTATAATTGAGAATTTGTCTATTTCTCCTTCCACCTCTACCAGGTTTTGTTTCGTGTAGCTTAAAGTTCTTTCATTTAGGTAATTACATATTTTAATTATTACGTCTTTTTTATGGCTTGGCCTCTCTGTCATTATAAAATATCCTTCTTTATCACTGATAAAATTTGTTGTCCTGAATTCTACTCAATCTGATATTAATATAGCTACTCCATCTTTGTTATAT